TGGAAGAATTAAAAGAACTGCTATTTAACAAGATTAACGGTGTAACAATCGATTCAAGGAGATGGAATCCAAGTAATAAAAATATAGTTATAATTAATATCCATTTTTCAATTTTATCCTAATTTAATATTTACATATTAATATTTATATTTTAGATAAAATAAATGGAATAGATGGGACTGGAAAACTAAAAAATATTGATAAATTCGATTCCACGTTCTTCAGTGCTCATCCAAAACTTGCTCAAAGTATGGATCCATTAACAAGAATTTGCTTAGAAAGATCAATCGAAGCGATTATCGACGCAGGTTTAAGTCCATCAGATTTGTATGGAACAAATACAGCAGTATTCACGGGATCAGCGATTAGTGTTACAGAAATGTATACAATGGATTGCTCTCAAGAAAATTCTGGTTTCTCAATGTTAGGACGTAGCAGAACAATGCAAGCAAATCGTGTTTCATATATTCTCAATTTAACTGGTAAACTACTATACCCAAATAACTATGATATAACTTAAGACAGTATATTAATAACACTTATATATTTATATAGGTCCTAGTTTTTCAATGGATGGTGGATGGATTTGTGGTGCAAATGGTTTAAAAAAAGCTAAAGAAATGATTGAATGTGGTATGATATCTTCAGCAATTGTTGGAGTGACTGGTTTGATTCTTCGGCCCGAAATTCAATTACAATTTCAAGGATTGAATAGATTAAACAAAAGTAATCAAACAAAATCTTTCAGTTCTGATGGTAAATATTAWWTTTGTAACAAAATAGTWATAGTCGTATACATATTTCTAATTAACTAATTTCGCTATACACACACAATTTTGACACGTTTTCTGTGTATGTATTAATTTAATTTCATACGTTATGACCAATAATTATTATTGCATGAAGTTTAAGGTTTAAGTGCAGTAAGTAAGTAGTTACATATATTTCATAATACATAAATCGACATGTAAATATTTTATTCCACCTAACTCCTAAAACTATACATATATTTAAATATTTGAATCTTATTTCAAAAAAAAATAAAATATGTTTCATTTTTAGCTGATGGATATAACAGATCAGAAGCTTGCATTGTTATGTTACTCCAAAGAGCATCTGAAGCTAAACGTTCTTATGCAACCTTACTAAGTGTAAAATCACTCGCATTTGGAGATCATCAAGGACATTTRACTGAACATTTTGGGAATAACTTTAAATCGATATTGTTGGATTCTTATAAAGAAGCTAATATTGACCCATCTTCAATTGAATTCATCGAAGCGTATGGATCGGGAATTAAGGTGATATTGTTTAAAAGTGTAAKTTTATACATATTTCTATAAATTTGGGATATTTTTTTAGTGTGAAGATGCAATGGAATTAAATATTATGGAAGAAGTGTTTTGTACTGAAAAGAGAAATACACCTTTAAAAGTGGGTTCTATTAAGAGCAACATAGGCCATTGTGAAGTGTCTGGTCACTTTATATCAATTGTAAAAGCCATAATTGCATTGGAAAGTGGTTACATACCACCGAACATAAATTATACAGAACCAAATGAAAATGTACCAGCGTTAAAAAATGGAAAAATTCAAGTAATTATCAAGCTTTATTGAWGTGTTTTTTAAAATTATTTTACAATAGTTATAATTTTATAAACTTTTAAATTAATATTATTAGAGTAAACCTATCAAAACAACTTTTTTCGTAGTACACGATGTGAGCTGTAGGGTGTGTTAAAAAATATTTTCACTCGTTGAAATCGTTTATTGCGATGTAACTTCTGAATGAATATAAGTGGTAGAAAATTAATGACAATAATAATTACTGTCAAAGTTGCATACAACTCTTATGATATAATAACATGCTTGTTTTAGCAGAAATTCATAAGTTATATAAGAACTAATAAATTGATTAATTACTCAGCTATTAATATTTTTGTCATTTTTACTAAACCTTGGAGGCTAAGTAACAGTTATTCTATTAAATTGTTTTCACTTTGAAGTTTTAAACAAAAAATTCTTATTAATATTTTAAATAATCAATAATATGGAGTTAATTCAAGCATAAATAGCGCATTTTAATTTATTTTATTAAATTATAAATAAATGTTAATAAGGGTATAGGTAATGTTTACCGTTTTATCACATCACACGAACTGTGTAACGGGAGAGATAAATTACGGTGTTCATTTTTGTTTTTGTATAGGTGGTCACTGAAAAGACTCCACTTGTTACTGATGTGATCGGAATAAGTTCTTTCGGTCTCATGAACGCATTTAGTCACGTCATCATAAAAAAAAATAGCAAAATACAAAACGATTTCAAGAATATCAGTCGTGAATATGATATACCACAGCTAATTTTAGTATCTGGGCGGAATGAGGAAAATGTTAAAAAAACCCTAGAAAAGGTTAAAATAAATTTTAATTTAATTTAATATAACATAAATATATTTTTATCGTTTATAAATACTATATTAGATTAGAAGCTACGGAAACAATCCTGAATATGTAGCATTGACCAATGCTGTGTTTACTAAAAATATTGCCGCACATTTTTATAGAGGTTTTACCATTTTTCCAAGTCCAGAAAAATCGCAAATCAATGACGTTTGGGTAAATTATTTGTAGTTATGTTAAAATTATAATTAAAAAAAAATATTAAACATATATTTTATTTTAAGAATGTTAATTTAAAAAAACGYCCAGTATGGTTTATATTCTCTGGTATGGGTTCACAATGGCAAGGAATGGGCACACGCCTTATGAACCTCCCTATATTTTTTGATGCTATAGAAAAATGTGATTCAATTCTAAAACCTCGAGGAATCGACATCAAATATATTTTGACTAGCCAAGAGCCAAACGTATTTGATAATATTCTTAATTCGTTTGTTGGAATTGCTGCAGTTCAGGTTTATATCAATAAAATAATATCTCAATTCGGCCAACAGGTATACATTTGATTACATTTTAGATCGGATTAGTAGAAGTATTGAAATCATTAGACATTAAACCTGATGGGATTATTGGCCACTCGGTTGGAGAATTGGGATGTGCCTATGCAGATGGTTGTTTTACGGCTGAAGAAATGATATTAGCCGCTTACGCCCGAGGCCGAGCTTCACTAGAAACAGACTTTATTCCTGGAATGATGGCTGCCATCGGTAATTTTTACAATATACCACTATAGTATTTTAACTTTATTGATATTTTAACTTTTCGTTTAGGACTTGGATATGACCAAATAAAAGACAAACTTCCTCATGAYATTGACATCGCTTGTCGTAATAGTGCAACTAGCTGCACAATATCCGGTCCAGTTGAAAGCATCAATGAATTCGTATCACAATTAAAATCCGAAGGCGTCTTCGCAAAATCCGTCAACGTTGCTGGCATAGCATTTCACAGTAGATACATTCAATCCGCTGGTCCTACACTGCTTAAATATTTAAAAGATGTTTGTTCAAAAMTTAAATTAAATTATTTTAATTTCAACAATGTTTGTATAACTTATTTTTATAGGTGATCAAAGTACCAAAAAAAAGGTCTTCTAAGTGGGTAAGTAGTTCATTACCGGTAAGCGAATGGGATTCGGACCTCGCAAAATATTCTTCACCAGAGTATCATACAAACAATTTATTGAGTAGTGTGTTGTTTGAAGATGTTCTAAAACACATACCTAGTGATGCCATCWCAATCGAAATTGCTCCTCATGGCCTTCTTCAAGCTATTATAAAAGGTGCATTGCCGGATACAGTTACTAATATAACATTAACTAAAAGAATTTTCGATGATTCTATTCAATTTTTATTGACTGCACTTGGAAAGTAAGAAACCAATAGATTATTAAATTTTCATTTGATTATCAAATATTCTGCACAATTTATTTATATGTCTATCCTCTAATTTTAAGTTAATACTGTACAATGTGCATATCCTGAGATTCAAGAAACCTTATATTTGTATAATATATGCTGCTTATGAATTGAGAATAAAATAATAATTATGAAATAAAATAAATATTTTATGTTTTATAAMAATTATGAATAAATAATATAATTTAATATTTCTTTTCAATTCATATATGTAATATGTAGCTTATTTAACAGTATGATTTCGTGGGCTATAAAAATGTTATTGACATTCATTTTTTTCTTTTTTAACACAGCCTTTTT